CGCATTCTAGCACTGCGAGCAGAATGCGAGAAAGGCGCTAGACTACAAAAGTGTTTCAAATGCTGTCAGCGCCACTATACAGCGCAATGGCGTGCGAGAGTGGCACCTTACTAGCGCCACCAAATTTTTCTACTAGGGATGCTTTAGAAAACATCTTATTTTAAGATGTAAGATACCATTTTTCCATCTTACATCTTATTTTAAGATATCAAAAAAGACACCTATTTTTGCAGTGTGCATTTGTCAAAAAACATGCTCGGACGTATATAATGATATCTCACGAACCGAATAAGATTTTTTAACTCTTTTGGTCTTAAATTAAAGATGAAACTTAAATGATTACACCTATATAAGTTTTAAAATTTTCCTACAATTTTTAAAAAATGTGCAAGGGTTGAAATAATTTCTAAAAAAATTTTATTTTGAAATTTTTTTTGTCAAATTTGTAGATTGCTGCAAGCTTTGTATAAATTATTAAAATTTTCAGTTGCATATCATTAATCGTAGAATTTAATAATCTTTCGAATTGTATATTTGTTAATTTTCTGACATTTGTATTTACAAAGAAATCGTGATTTAAAGATTGGTATGTTTTGGGCCCTGCGCGTGCAGCCGTACCGATAATTCCCGACGGTAGTGTATGCAAGTAAATCTTTAATATATACATATTTAGAAAAGTTTCGGTGTTTTTTGGACAATTTTTCAGTTATATTTTTAACAGATTCAGAAGCAAAAAGTCAGTCACTGCTGATTGTCAGTTAAAACCAAGATTTTTAACTGATTCAAATTAAGAGAATATATTATTTATCATATTATATTATAAATAATAAACCAATATTTGTTAAATATAGGTACATAATAGATATTAAATAGTTTAAAGCATTTTTAACTTGTTTTATTTAGAAAAAGTGACATTGTCACATTTAATTTCTTATAATCTTTGAATTTAAAAGATTGTGACGTAACACATGAGTTCCCCCCCCCTCCCCTATGTCACACTTAGTCGCAATTCTCAGACCCCCTCCCACCCCCTAGCCGCGTGACGTATTATGTGTACGGCCCCTAAGGAACACAATTATTTCGTCCGAATTGTTAAAGTGTGTTGTCAAAATGTAAGTTTTTCGTAATTTATTTTGTTTTTTATCACCTTATTTGGTTTCTAGTGTTCAAAGATAGTTCGAAATTGTAACGACTAGTGATTCCATCATCGACCTCAACTGATGATACCAGCAACGTTTAAAACACACATTCGCTCTTCTAGTTTTGTTTTTACATTTGTTTTATATTATGTGTTTACTTTTGAGCAATAAAAAATAACTTCTTTAACTTTAAATATACTTTTTTTAATGGTTTTTACCGCCTTGTTCCCAATAGCCCTATTTTGTAATTTCGAAAAAATGCGTCGTTTTTTCTTAAAATTCCAGCTTTGATCAAGACAATTATTTAACCCTTCAATGTGCTCGCCAAGATCAAGAAAAGAAAGAAAAAATTAAGGCAATATTTCAATACACAAAAAAGTTGCAAAACTTTAAATTTGAAATCTGTTCCTAACATCCCCAGTTTACGGTATTAAAAAGTAAAAAAGGTTTGAATTTCTTGATGAAATTGTCATTGTTTTAATGTGTGGACATTTTATTCGGAACAAATAAATTTATATTTGGCTGTGAGACAAGTATACATTTTCTGTGTGTGTTTTTATTAAATTTACAATTTCGTTTTACATAAAAAAGTATCACTTCACTGTTTTCATAGAAATTTTTATTTACTTAGTATTTTAATAATAATTTCTATTCGATTCTGGAAAAAAGAAATAAATGAAATACAATATTTCATTGCTTTTTTTACATTTCAATGGACTGGTTCGCCAACATCATCAAATCACTAATTAGAATAAAGTACATAAGTACATAAATTGAAATAAAGAAATAAAACAAGTAAAAAATTAAAATTTTTCTATACAAAATATTTCTCGAGCCCTGGAAAACATGAAAAAGTCATGGAATTTTATTGAACGAAAATCGTAGCAACCCTGCGTATAATTATATCAATCTTTACTAATGACAGTGTCACATAGTAATGTTCAAAATTTTGAAAAATATGTTTATTTACTCACCCACATTCTATAAATCATAAAAAATTAATCAAATACATCTGAAACTTATTACAGTTATCAACCATTATTTTAGTGATTTAAAAGTTTATAAACAAATTATTATTTGTCTGTTAAAAATTTGAAATATAGTTCCAAGTTTGCCCAAGTTCAGAGAAATCGACGTTCATTTGCAATGTGGGCCTTTCTTCACCGTTCGTGCGTTTTACTATATCGCCGCGAACCTGGAAATTTTTTCATTACAGCCTGACTAGTTGCATCGAGTGCATCCTAAAGTTAGTCTTCAATTTTGAATATAAACTAGAAATTCAATTTTAAAATGGCAGAGAAAGCAGAATCCACTGTTGCGCCTGCAGTTGCACCTTCCGAGGGAGCTGCAAAGTCGAAACAGCCTCGTGTGAAGGCCGCTCATCCGCCAGCATCAGAGATGGTCGTTGCAGCCATCACTCATTTGAACGAGAAGGGAGGTTCGTCTCTGCAAGCCATCAAGAAGTTCATTGCCGGCAAGTACGTAGTCGACGTTGAGAGGCAAGCTACTTTCATCAGGAAGTACCTGAAAGCGGCCGTCGCCAACAAGACCCTGATTCAAACCAAGGGAACAGGTGCTGCGGGCTCCTTCAAATTGAACGTCGCCAAGTCTGAGGGAAAAGCTAAGCCGAAAGCACCAAAGGCTAAGAAACCAGCAGTAGCCGAGAAGAAGAAGCCAGCAAAGGTCGCGGCCAAACCGCCAAAGGCCAAATCTACCGCTGCCAAACCCAAAGTTACGAAGGCTTCTCCCAAGAAATCCAAGGCACCTGCAGCTGCCAAGAAAGCTTCTCCGAAGCCCAGGAAGACTGCGGTTAAGAAAGTTGCAAAGCAGTAGATATAATGTTAATTCAAAGACATTTTCACAGCTCGTCTATATCAATCGGCCCTTTTCAGGGCCACCAAACATTTTTACGAAGGAATTTATTTTGTTTCTCTCTTTTTCAACATTTCAGCTATAATAAAAAATATAACGGGTATATCACATGTCTGGCAAAATTCACTGAATTTTGTCAGGGTCACTCATGACTCGACATGTTATTAGTAGTTTAAATCTATTATTTATTTTATTATTATTATTTTCACTTTACTATTTTTTTATTTTTGTTATTGACTCCAACTCCTATTGTTTTCCAACGTTTATAGGTTTTACGTAAAAATTGACAAATTTTATTTTTAATTTTATGACGATTTGTAAAAGATGATGTAAACTATATCATTGATTTATGTCGGTAAGAAATTTAAAACTCTCTTTATTTTGTGTTCATTGTAATTTCATAATATTATATTTATATTTTGTAAACTCGTTTATTATTTTTATATTTTTTATATATTATTGTTTTTAGACTGCCGAAGAGGAAATCACTTGTTTGCAAGACAAACAATTTCATAAAATTTCTAATGATTTGAAAATATGTATAAGTAATTTTCAAAAAAGGAATAAAAATGTTTCAAAATGCTAATTTATTCAGAACGTGTACAAATCAACTTTCCTATAAAACTTCAATTTGAAACTTTTTTAAGTTCAATCTATATTAGTAATATTAATTTAACATTGTAAAATATAACAAATAGTTACTTATAAATTATTGTAGAAAAACAGAATATTATTTATTTTTATATTACTTCCTCATAGAGGAAGTATTGTAATACCAAAATTTTTCGAGTTCGATTTTTTGACATATCTTTATGTTCTTTGACCTCAGGAGTTCAAAAATGACATTTTTAAAAAATGTCATTCCGTGTGTGTGTGTGTGTGTGTTATCATCACATTTTCATAAATATCTCGAAATTATGAAGAGCTTTTGGGTTGAATTCTTTTTTAAATTGTAGATCTCACCTGCGGACATAAAGTGAGAGTACTTTCTGATATAATAATAAAGTTTAACTAAATTTTTTTTTTATTTTTAATTTTGAAAAAAAACGTTTTTTGCCCATAACTTTAAAAAAATGTTAGGACACCTATAAATGTTTTTCCATAATTTTGTAGAGTTTTTTTAGACGCATCTTTTAAGCCCTAATTAAACATTTTTCGTCCATATTAACCGGAGTTATTTAACTTTTAAAAATACAAAATTTTAGAAAATAAGACTTTTTTGAAAATTTTGTTGGAAAACGTCGAAGTAACTTTAAAATTCTCGTTATCAACTTGTAGAGCATTAAAAAACGCTTCGATTGACCTATTTTTGAACCTACTTCGATAATAAATTTCGAAATTATTGGTATTTTAAAAACCAAAAATTGTGAAAAATGACATTTTCTCAATACTTTTTTGTTTGAAAATTTTTGTTTAACTATTAAATTATTGTAACTATCTTGTAGGGTATTTAAAAATACATTGATTGACTCAAAATTTAATCACTTTTACTATATTTATAAAAAGTTATTCATATATTTCTATTATTTTTATCTCCATGAGGAAGTAAAGTGTTCATGAAATGAGCACCAAAATTATAAAAAAAATATACAACTTGGCAGTGGTTTTTTTCCAGTGCTTTTCATAAAATTCTAATAATAATAATAAAATAGTGAACTATTAGTTACATTCACTTGTAGATTTCGTCAAAACAACAAATTCTTTCGATGAGTAATTGAAGAATGTAATATTGAAAAATAACTAGATGCAGTATCATTTTAAACGCTACTAAAAGGTTTTTTAATTGATATTAAAAAAGGTTGTTTATAGTATAGTAAGGCATGTTCGTATAAGAATTAAAAATATTTCAACGTAAGAAAATTTGTTGGCCCTGAAAAGGGCCGATTGTTTTGTGTGGTCGAAAAAAATTAAGCACGTTCTCCTCGGATACGACGGGCCAATTGGATGTCTTTTGGCATGATGGTGACTCTCTTGGCGTGGATGGCGCACAAGTTGGTGTCTTCGAAGAGACCGACGAGGTAGGCCTCGCTGGCCTCCTGGAGGGCCATCACGGCGGAGCTCTGGAAGCGCAGGTCGGTCTTAAAGTCCTGAGCGATTTCACGGACTAAACGTTGGAAGGGCAGTTTGCGGATGAGGAGCTCGGTGCTCTTCTGGTAACGACGGATTTCACGGAGAGCGACGGTTCCGGGCCTGTAGCGATGGGGCTTCTTCACTCCACCGGTTGCAGGCGCGCTCTTTCTCGCGGCCTTGGTGGCGAGTTGTTTCCTTGGTGCTTTACCACCGGTGGATTTGCGCGCGGTTTGCTTGGTACGAGCCATTGCTTACGACTTCAAAGTACGAAGGACGACTGAAAAATGGTTTCGGCGATATGAACGCACATATTTATAGCTTTCAGAAGCTCTTGCACCAGTTAGTCAAGAGGAAGGGGACACTGACATCCTGATTGGTCGGTCAGATCGTGGAGGGGAGCAGTGGAACTCCAGAGGGAATAAAACAGCGCACTTTCGCCGGCTTAGCATCATTCCGAGTTTGTTCTCTGTTCTGTTCGAACGTACTTAATTAATTCTCTGCCAAAATGACTGGTCGCGGAAAGGGAGGAAAGGGATTGGGAAAAGGAGGAGCAAAGCGCCATCGTAAAGTGTTGCGTGATAACATCCAAGGTATCACCAAGCCCGCCATCCGTCGTTTGGCTCGTCGTGGTGGAGTGAAACGTATCTCAGGATTGATTTACGAAGAGACCCGTGGTGTCTTGAAAGTGTTCCTTGAGAACGTGATCCGTGACGCCGTCACTTACACCGAACACGCCAAGAGGAAGACTGTCACCGCCATGGACGTCGTCTATGCTCTCAAACGTCAAGGCCGCACCCTTTACGGTTTCGGCGGTTAATTTTCATATTCATCATCGTCATCATTCAAAACAATCGGCCCTTTTCAGGGCCACCAAATCTTTTTTACGTTTGAATAATTTTTTTCATTAACATAGTTTTATGATAAAAGGATTATAGTGCAATCCATCAGTAAGTTGTAATATTGTGAATCATGCTTACCTACATTCTAACCTTATTTGATGCATAATGCACTTGTTTTCGAAATTCACGAATATTGTTTGTGCTATTGTTACGTCCCAAAAATAATGAATTATGGTTCGTAATGATACTTTATTTTAAATTTAATTAAATTGTTAAATTTTATTTGAATTTAATTGTGATTTACTATTTTAAGCCTAGACTTGCGTCCAATAGCTTGGGATTACTTTTGTTGTTTTTTTCTTTGATTTGATTGGAAGAAAATTAAGGATGGTAGAATTTAAATAAAAAGGAATGAGATCTTTTACGAACTGAGATTGTTCTACAGTTTAATACTTGATCTCAGAATCAAGGGTAAATATATTTTTAGGAGTCAATTGTATTTGAGGCTCCGGATCTTAAAAGGGCACACGCGCGAACACACGGCAAATAAGTTGGCCCCTGGAGATAAAATTTTGAAGTTGTTCAAAATGAATTTTAAATTATTGTTTCTTGTACAGAATTTCAAGGCGAAACTTTTTTTTTAATAAAAATTTTTTATATAATTTCTCGTTTTCACGTAAATTGAAAAAAACGTGATTTTTTGAGTTAAGAAATTTTAATGAATTTTTGACTTCAACTCGTGACTACTTCGTTAAATATTAATATTTTTCCACGAAATTTACACACAATATTCTTCAAACTATTCCAAAAGTGAAACAATATTTGGAAATTTAAAAAAAAATTGTATGTCAAAGTAAATAATTATTTAAATAATTTTGTCGGAAAAATGATTCTCCTATTTTCAATTGAAAAAGTTGAGTGACGAATTTTCGTTTTCGGAAAACTTTCAGCGACAAAAATGTTCATTAATATGTTAAGAAGTTTTTTGGAAAATATCTCGCTATTTGATAATAAATTAAAGACAATAGAGCAATTTTAACATCGTCGCGCTCTGCTGTAAACGTAAACAATGTCTAACTATATATACATTGGTCTTGTAATGGCGGCCATGCTACACGTGTGCCGCCACGCCGCAATTTTACAGCAGAGCGCGACGATGTTAAAATTGCTCTATTGTCTTTAATTTATTATCAAATGGCAAGATATTTTCCAAAAAACTTCCTAACATATTAATGAACATTTTTGTCGCTGAAAGTTTTCCGAAAACGAAAATTCGTCACTCAACTTTTTCAATTGAAAATAGGAGAATCATTTTTCCGACAAAATTATTTAAATAATTATTTACTTTGACATACAATTTTTTTTTAAATTTCCAAATATTGTTTCACTCTTGGAATAGTTTGAAGAATATTGTGTGTAAATTTTGTGGAAAAATATTAATATTTAACGAAGTAGTCACGAGTTGAAGTCAAAAATTCATTAAAATTTCTTAACTTAAAAAATCACGTTTTTTTCAATTTACGTGAAAACGAGAAATTATATAAAAAATTTTTATTAGAAAAAAAGTTTCGCCTTGAAATTCTGTATAAGAAACAATAATTTAAAATTCATTTTGAACAACTTCAAAATTTTATCTCCAGGGGCCAAATTATTTGCCGTGTGTTCGCGCGTGTGCCCTTTTAAGATCCGGAGCCTCATTATTTTAATAATAAAAAAAAGGGTTGGAATGAATTTATACTAAGATCAATCCAAGGATTAACGTAGTACAATTCATTCCAGGAATAGGAATATGTGTGTCAAGATTTTAGAAAGGAAAAAATTTGACAGCAATTAAATGTTATTACTCACTTTTTTAATATAATTTTTAGATGAACCGAATTTGAACTGGAACTGGAACTGTAGATAAAGTTGAAGTTGAAACTCGTTGAATATTAGTAAATTTTGAAATAAAGACTTTGAATTTGAAGATTTAGAACTTTTAAAGAATTTGAATTTTGAGGATTTAGAACTTGAATGTTTGGGAGAACTCGTTTGATATAATTTGTTGAGAACTGAATGATAAGTATAACTGGCGTTTTCTTAAAGAAAATTCAGGGATGAAAATATTGTAGAAAGGGAAAAAGAGGTTGAGTATTTTTAGGATTGGTTTAAGAAAAAGAAAATGCATAAAGAAATGGGCCTGATGAAGAACATTTGTTCTTTTTGACGAAATATATATACTGCAATTGGAAATTTGAAAAAATAATTGATTCTAATAAGAGCGGAAGTCGACAACACTAATAAGGCTTCCTTTGAGAGAAAGCAAAATTTCTTCAAACTAAGTGAATTTCAAATTGAAAGCTACTAATGTACTCATTTGAAAATGCGTGAAAATCAAAAAAGACGATATTTACAAGAAAGAGTATTATAGACAGTTTGCTCATGTACTAATGTAAAACTTTTAGAACACTTGAGTTTACAGGCAACGGCCACACCACGATGAAAAAACCAGTTCTCGTCAGTACCTTTCTAACTATTGAAGGGATAAGTTGTACCTTGGAGCAGGTAGAGCCAGCTCACCGATCCCAAGTTTTCAAAAATTCTAAAATACGAAATTTAAAATAACCCGCCATCACGGCGGCCCATAGGCCGAGTTTCGCGCCCGCGCGAATGATAACAGCCGATATACCGCGTAATTCAAATTCAAAAAGTGATAGTGATAAAATAAAAAATACTGACAGTGAAAAGTGGAGTAAAATCTATCATAAATCAGTGAGTGAAAATGGACCAACATTTTTCTTACAAAATACTATCATGGTGAAAAATGAAGCAATGCCAAAACCACCTAAAAAAGAATCAAAAGCAACGACACTAAAGGCGCAAAAAATAACCCCGAAGAAGACGGAGACTCAGAAACCGTATGTTAAACCAAACATTAGCCCAGATAAAAAATCATCACTTGATTCCTCTGCAAAAGATTCTCTGATAGTACCAATCAATGCAGCAAAAATGACGAATAACACGCAAATATCAAGTCAAGAATATCAGGAGATGTTTAACAACAATATAACCCAACAAAAAATTATTGATGAATTATTACAAACAATTCATCAACAATCTCAAAGAATAGAAAAATTGGAAAAAATGCAGAACAAAAACTTCAACACTGAAATGTAAACAGATGTGGGACAAATAAAATCAGCCAACGATCCAGTGACGGGTTTTCCCCAACCTCATAAAAATCAAGAAAGTGAAAAAAATGGAAATAAAAATTCCCCATCATCCTCAACCAAGGCCACTGCGACCAGCAACAATAAGCAGATCAACAACCCTCAGGACAATACATCCAATAAACCAATTTCGACCAGCAGCAGCAAGGATTCATCAGCAGGTAAACCACCACCGATCATTATCTACGGACAAGATCAGACAACAACGGTAAGCCTCATAAAAGAACATTTAAAAACAGACAAATTTCACATCAAAAGAATAAACAAAGATAAACACTCTTTATACACAGAAAACATTGTAGATTTCAAAAATGCCAAAGTACAACTCGAAGCTACGAGTTCAAAATTCTTTACCTACACAATAAAAGACGAAAAAATAAAATCCTTTCTCTTGAAAGGTTTAGATTCAAGTACAGATCCCGCGGACATACTTGAAAATCTTAAACAATTTGAATCAGAAAATATTCAATTTTTTAAAGTTACTAGATTCACAACTCCTAGATCTCAAAAAGAAAATAAAATCTTACCCTTGTTTTTAGTACAATTGACTCCAAACAGTCAGACAAACTTGCTTCATAAAATTAAATATGTTAACTACCAAACTATCAGGTGGGAAAAATTGAAAAAGAGAGATAGCATACAGTGTAAAAAGTGTCAAAGATTGGGGCACGTAGCTTCGAATTGTAACTTAGATTATAGATGCGTAAAATGCAGCGAAAATCATGAACCGGGTAATTGTAAACTACCGGAGCCCACGAATGCAATAGAAAGAGAAAAAGTATATTGTGTATCATGTAAAAAATATGGTCATCCAGCTTCTTATAGGGGATGTGAAAAACAAATAGAATTAAAACAAAGAATGCATGAGAAATTGGAAACAATTAGAAAAAATAGGATTGCAAAAGATAGAATGTACAACAATTTTACAACAAAAGAAACAAGCTTCTCAAACATCTTACAAAAAAAAACACTTCACAACACAGAAAATAACTACCCACATATAGAACAACAAATAAACAATAAACAACATACATTAAATAATGCACAAAACCTACAAGAAACCTTAAACAACTTAACAAAACAGATACTTCAAATTACACAATTAGTAGAAAAAAATAGCAAAAGAATAGACGATTTATTTGAACTACTAACTGATTCTAATTCTGTTCAAAATGGATAGTAAATTAAATCCTAACCTAAAAAATACTATTACTGTCAAAAATTTAAAAATAATATCAATAAACGTCAATTCAATTGTAACAAATGAAAGGCGAAATAATCTTTTAAACTTCATAAAAAAACATAATCCAGATATAATTACTTTAAGTGAAACAAAACTAAATCCTATACATAAACTAGATTTCCAAAATTTCACTTTAATTAGAAGAGATAGACCAAATACAATATTAGGCGGAGGAGTTGCAATACTCATAAGAAAAGACCTTAAATTTAAACAAATAATTCTATCGGAAATAGAACAGTTTCAGAACTTAGAAACTGTTATCATAAAAATCCCTTTACCAAACAATCAAAGGCTTTTTGTCATATCTGCTTACGCTGCATACGGAAACAGATTAAATTTTAATCAAGAAATTGATAAATTATTTCAAATTCTCAATTTAGACGATCCTGACAACTTTTTTATAATGACAGGTGACTTAAATGCTAAACACACTAGTTGGTTAAATGAAAATTTCAACACAAGAGGAACTTTTTTACGAAAATGGATAGATGACAATGAAATAAATTATAAACTAAAATTATACACTCCAAGTCTCCCCTCCTTCCCCCGAGGAAATTCATATCTTGACTTAGGAATA